ATTACTCCCTGAAAAAGCTTGAGCATTAACAATAACTCCACCGACCATCATTGCAATTGATGCCATACTATGTTCATAAATATTCAAATGTTTAATTATTTAATTTTGTCTTCTGGATAAGCCCTTGTTTCATTAGCATATATTTAGTAGCAATAGCTAGGCCTACATCTAGGATCATCATACCAATATCATAACCATTAAAATCTAGCTTTGGTGATGGTGCTTTAGTAATTATTTTACTTTAATAAGCGCCCTCTTAAGCCTGTAAAAGGCGCTCAATGACAGTAGAACTATAAAAATAGTTGACAAAAAGGTCTGATGTTTACTGCGGTGCTTTGTGTTTTGTTCTCTTCTCCCTGTGCAGTATTCTTTTGTCTTTATGTTCTAAGAGGCTCTTGACCGGGTTACCAATTCTAATTATAGATAAAGCACAAAGAGTGAAGTTTGATTTAAAGTTTATTCAACAAAAAAACAACAGGGGGCCAAATCTCCATTTAATTATAACCTACATATTTTTCCCCCTTCCCAACCAATGTAACCCAATTCAACCTTATTTCTTAAACTTGTTCTTTCAACCACCCCTCTAACTTAACTCCCGAAAGTAAAATGTCTCCAAAACAAACCTATTTAATCTCTACTCTATTTTTCCCCCACCTATACCTCCTAATCTAATATCCCAACAAATGCCCTATAATAAATAATAAATGGTCCTGATTCAGGGCGCGGGAGCCGACTGCATCTTACCAGATACTGGTGAGCGACAACTGATGATTCCCTTCCCAGGATAGGCTTATAAAGCCTACACACGGACCATGTGACCAGGAAAAAGGACACAACCAATGAACATGCTCCTTACATCTCGGCTCTCCCAATCATGGCTTCTGCCTAGCCGAGCATGCAAGAAGCGTGGCATTTTCCCAGCCACCATGCCGACGTGGGTATAAGCTGCTACAAAAAGGACTACAAAGATAGGTACTACGTCACCCGTTCAACTCCCCTTAAACTAACCCACCAAGTTCCAAAATATATCTATTTACCCAAAATAATCCCCAGTCGACCACATTACCTATACGAGCATAGCCTATAGCTAAGCCACTAACAACTGCTGAATGATATGCTGTGTTTAACATTTTTCTGTCTGTAACTGGAGTAGTCATGTTTTATAACATAATATGAGGATTTAACTCTAATTGAACAGCGTCCAATTTTTGAACTGGCGATGTTTTCTCTTCACCATTAGATTTACCAGTCTTAATAAACCATACCACTGCTATAACAACTCCTAGTGCATAGGGAGCCCAAGTTTTAATCCGTTCAGCTGATGTACTGTGTACACTGTGTTCGCTCTGTAGTTGTAGTTTTGCCTTCCTGGCTAAAGCCCCCCTTTTACCAGCTGCTACTTTTTGGGGGTTCTTAGTCACTCTAACAACTTGTGGCGTTTCCACATTCACTTGTGGTGTTTCCGCTTTTATTATCATTACAAGTTCTTAGGCGTTAGTGTCGAATAAAGCAGATTGTTGGATTAACGAGTGTTGGATTAACAAGACTTGACTGTAATACACTATCCGATATTTAAGTCTAGCACACAGTCAATTTAGCAACTGAGTAAATTTTGCTAAGCAGTTGCTAAAATGTCCTACGTAGTTGCTAAATTTTGCTAAGCAGTGGTTAAATTTGCTATGCAGTTGCTAAAATTTGCTAAGCAATTGAATAAGCAGATGGTTAGTCAGTTTTTCATATGAGCTTAGAGTACTTTGTTTCCGCTAACAGTTTTCTAACTTTATCTCGCTTAAGCTTTGTAGAAATAACATCATTTTCGTGTAGACATTCCTCAAATGAATCTGTGTCCTTGCAATGAAATAGTGTAACCCATCTTGTCTGCTTTCTGAGATGTTTTAGAACTGAGTTGTATTTTTAAGTAAGTACCCAAACACTATGCTCCATCTGTTGACCGGATAATACTAAATATGAAAGCATATCTTTCTTTTCAGTAAGTTCTTTACTAGCTCTGAGGTCATATATTATGACAAGGGTTGGCTCTCCTTTGAATTTTTCATGACATACTCGTAAACAGTCTTGTAAACGATCACCTGGATCAACTTTGTGCAGCTTGGATCCTTCATTACTCAATCTATGTATGTTTTATTAATATTTATAGTCGGACACAGAATAATAATATGGGCAAAAAGATTGTGATAATGACTTTGTAAAATATCTAGAATAAAAGATATTTTTCCGCAGCCCATTGCCCTCAGATGATAGCGCAGTGAGGTTCTTTAGGTAAAAGATTATTAATAGATCTCTTGCACAAATCTTCCATTGTGTATATTAAGTTGCGTATCCATAATCACGTACAACTATTATTTCGGCCTTCTTCATTATTTGTATAGTAACACCCTCACTAGCATTCTCTTTTCTCCACCCACTACCATGTAGTTGGTCATCATCTGTGGTTCGCATGTCGAGCCATAGCGCATACTTTGAGGTAAGGAATTCAGCCAGCAATACATCCACAAGATCCAGATCTTTTGCAACCGCGTTAATTTCTGGACTATGTCTTATAGAAGGGAGTTTTTTAATCTCATCCCACTGTTGATATGCTCTCATGCCTTGACTATATTGTTGATTAGGCACGTCCTCGATAGTCAATTCTACTTTTGTTCCACGTCGTACCACTTTTATCACTGATGATCTTGTGATGGCGAAGCACCAGTCATACAAAATGGCTAAACTTCCTGTATACTGGTAATTTGTCTCGCTCATTCAAGATCTGTTATCATATCAGTGAGATATTGTCAATGGAATAGCTAGCTTCATCAGTGGTTTTGATTACTCTGTGGTTGTTAATAAAAGTGAGTTTTTATTCTAACCTATCACCTCACCTAGAGAGACACATCAACCTCACGACCAGAGACTGTCAGGCATCTCAAGACTTGAACTTTGAACAGGATAGGCATCTTGTCATCAATGTGTATTAACAATTCAAATAAAAGTAGGCATGTTCCTTTTAAGTCCTTGTTGACATTACATAAGTGCATAGGCATATTACCTCTACGGCCTTGTTATCAATTCATAACTGCCTGGGCATATTACCTCCACATCTTCATTGTCAATAAATCACATGTTCCGAAATTCCTGGAGTGTCTGTGGAACATGTGGTTGACCTCGAAAGGCGCCTATCCATCTCATCCCACATGTGCTCGATTGGTGAGAGATCAGGGGAGCGAGCCGGCCAGGGGATGACATTCATCTTGTTTTGTTGAAGAGAATCCTGAATCCTGTCGAGCAATATAAGGCCGGGCGTTGTCATGTTGAAAGGTAATGCCTGGGCCATGACGACGCAAAAACAGTAGAACAACAGGGCTGATGATCTCGTCACGGTAGCGCTGTCCATTGAGATTTCCCTCTACTACTATCAAACAGGTCCTCTGTCTTGACGTAATCCCACCCCATACCAAAACGCTGCCGCCCCCGAACCGATCATCTTCCATGACACAATGATTGACGTAACATTCACCTCGATGTCGGTACACTCAAATCAGTCCATCGCTGTGGCTGAGGTGAAACGTGACTCGTCAGTGAATAGAACTTGTCCCAACTGCATGGCCGTCCAGCGTAGACGCTGTCTGCATCACTGTAGACATGCTTGACAGTGGTTTCCTGTCAACTGGGACGTCTGGCGGGTCTTTTGGCGACAATCCATGCACATCTGAGGCGACGACATACAGTTTGTGAAGATATACGCTTCTTGCAGTCACTGTTGCTGGCTGGAATTGATTTCGTAGGTGTGTTGTTCGAATACAGTTGACCTGTCGATTATTGGTTACGCGTGGCCTGCCACTCCGAGGATGGTCTCTGACTGTATTCGTCAGTTGCCAACATTGCCATAAACACCAAATAGTGTTTCTGTGTACGTTAAATTGTCTTGCAACATCATGTTGACTCAATCCTGCATCAAGCATACCAATGGCTCGCAGACACTCAATTTCAGCCAGGCATGGCATTTTGTAATGTAATAATTGCGTAATTTTGTTGTTTTTCTGAGTGGTTGTTGTCAGCACGATGCTAAACAATGCATATGGAATCCCGTTAACGCACATGTTTTTATACCCATTCTTGGGTAGTGAAATGCATGGGACTTGATTCCATACATGTACTACAATATTGAAAGCCAAACTTTACTTGTTTGAAAATATACACTAAAATATTGGTGTCACAGGAACTTTTGTTGTTGAGTATATATTCAACGTTTTACCAATAACAGGCATCAAGCAAGGTATGACTACTGTAACAATTAACCAAAATGAGCTACATTGACAGAATGTTAGATAGCTGCTAGCATGATGCATGGAAGCCTCTGATCTCTCTGTATGGCTTTCTCCTTGTCAACAGCCAGTGAGCATGGATATACTCTTTGGCATACTGGAGTGTGATCTACAGACATCTGTTTTGACATTGGAAGAGAACTGGAGAGTACAACCATCTCCCAACATGTCACAGTGTTGGAAATTGGCATCAGTACCTTAATCCTTGCCAAACTGTTTTAGACTAGTAAGGACTAGTGGACTAAAACTGTTAGTTTCTATCGCTGTGTCAACATCGTTACTTTTTCCAGAGAGAATTTGAAATGTTTATATTTGATCTTCAGTCACACCAGTTTCCAAACAAAGCTTCAATTCTTCTGTTTTCTCCATTCCAAAAGCAAGGTTGATTGGTAATCTTAGTTCATGTCCAAATATGGAAGAAGGGTGTCTGGCCAGTGGTCTCATGGTGGATGCAGTTGTAAGCATGAACAAAAGGTCCCACATAATTCTTCCAATCCCATTCTTGTCAGGTTTGAGGGTGCCTAGCATGTCACTGAGGGTCCTGTTGAATATCTCACACATGCCGTTACCCATAGGGTGATATGTGAAGGAGAATGTCCGAAAACTCGCTATTAGTTTCGCACGTGAAGCAGGTTGTCGGCCTAACGGCCTCCAACCTGCTTCACGTGCGAAACTAATAGCGAGTTTGAGGACATTCTCCTACTTAAAACAAAACTCTCTCCAAAACTGTCCACCAAACTAATGTACTCACATAATTATCGTGCGATACTAATGGAGGTCACGTGTATCATCACTTCCTCGATCAAATGATTATGATCGACTCGATGAAACGGAGCAATGCACGTGCTAAACTATTGGAGGACCACATGCATACGAGTCGTGGAAAGAAATTTGGTCCGTATGGGAGACAACATGTCGGATTGTGGTGATGAATTGTTCGTGACTCAGAACACATTTTGTAATCAGTCTGATGTGGTTGTGAACTCTCATTTTGAAACATTGCTTTATATGGATAACTTTCAAGAAGATTATTGTCAGAATTTTGAATTAGGCCGGTTATTTTCTGATGAGAACACTGACACTGCACCGTATAATACAAGTCAGGATAACTTTGATGATAATTGCGACACCGAACTATACTTGGCAAGTCAGATGATAGAAGAATCAGGAATTATTGGCACACGGGTGTCTAAGAGACAGTTACATTCCGAAATACTAGATTCGTTAAAAGGTGACAATGAAAGTTTTGAGAAAGCCGTACAGGTTACACAGTTGGGAACCAATCTAGACAATGAAAAGCTTCGGTTCGGTACTCCCCTTTCTGAAACGGATATGGTGCATTTGTGCGATTCGGCATACTCTGTGAACACTGAACATAAGAGTAGATGGGCTTTGAATATTTTCAAAAATTGGGTTGTTGAGAGGCAAAAACGCAGTAATAATGAAATTCCAATAGCAAATCAAAACATAGTATCGTTAGCTGAAGACGAAAATGATCTGAACAGAACACTGATGTTATTTCTGTCGGAGGTTCGAAACCAAAAGCGTGAAGAGTACCGCGGCAACACTCTGTACGAAATTGTGTCTTCTCTTCAGTATTACTTAAGAAGGAATGGGGTTGTCGTCAATTTCTTTGAGTCATCTTGTTACACCGGTATGCGATCCGTTCTTGATGCAAAGATGAAATTACTAGCTCGAAAAGGGATAGGGGTTGAAAAACGACAAGCGGATGTCATCACTGAACAGCAGGAAGATGTACTTTGGGAAACAGGTATACTCGGAGAAGATACACCACAGAAGCTCTTGGACACCCTCGTCTATTTAATCGGGTTGAACTTTGCTCTTAGGGCAGGAGATGAACACAGATACCTACGCAGTGGTTCAAATTCACAGTTACAGTTGTTGATGTCAAGCAATGGCGTCAAACAATTGAAATATACTGAGGACATTTCCAAAACGAACAGAGGGGGCTGAAGCACAGGAAGGTTGAAAGGAAACACGTGACCATCTCTAGTAATGAGGAAAACCCTGGAAGATGCCTCGTCAGACTGTACCAAAAGTATATGTCATTAAGGTAAATATAATTCTCTCACAAGTTCACAACTAATATTGTGAAAAGGAAGAGGTAGTTCCTATGCGACGTTTGTGTCTGCGAGTTCTATATGTCTGTCAGTCAGCGAGTTCTACCTGTCTGTGTAACGTAATGTGCACCTGATTAACATATTTTGGATGACTTTACCTTACGTTCTAATGTTCTTATGCACTATGTACTTTGTACGGCCAGCTGCATGAATTGATGACAGTTCACTTTGTTTTCAGACCAGTACATGGAAAGTGTGACGCCTTCTATTTGCGCCCGTTACGATACACTGCAGGCAAGGTTTGGTTTGCTGATGAGGCCGTTGGGATTCATCCACTCCGGTCAACTGTCAGCTGTCTCTGTAAGGCCGTTGGGTTCAGCGGATTTTACACAAATCACTCCCTCAGAGCTACAACAGCAACTCGGCTTTACGACAGCGGAGTAGACGAACAGCTAATTGCCGAGAAGACGGGACATAAATCGATTGCAATTCGAAGTTACAAGGTCTAAACTTTACCTATACGTTTGTGTATTTCCCACAATTTTTAAATGTGGTATATTGCGTTTTCTAATCTGCTTGTAGTTGCAACATTACCGTGGATGTTAGATGACGCGATAATGCATTTTAGCAATCGCCAGACTTCGGATCAACATCCCCGGGGTTCGAATCCCAAATAATATTTCTATATATTCAGTGGTCACACCCACTGTCAGTATACTATATATATCTTGGAGCTGCTATTTTTTGCGTGACAAGCCCCCGTTGTACTACTAAAACTAAGATGACGAGGAAATAAAAGTTGCATTTTGATATAATGCAAAATTAAATGTTTATGTGATATAATCAAGCAAAATAAGCTTTTCTTTTATCAGAGGACGTCCAAGGAAATGGCGGATACAGTAGACTCAATCGTGCAGAGAAAATCAAGACGTCCCAGTGCTTCTGTAACTGGTCCCCCTGTTATTGATGCCGCAATCTTTGATCCGCCAGGCAATCAACCATCGACAAGACCGACGCTTGGCCCATCAAAAGGCGAACAGGCTCCCTACACAAGTGACAGACGCAATTTCACAATGAAACTTGGTGACGGCACAACATTTTCTGTGAAATTTTGAATTTATGTTCAGGATAAATATTTCTGAAATCATTTGTTTTGTTGTCTTTGTCTTATAATATACGTAGACTGTCAGTTTGTCTCTCCCGAAACAAACCTACCACCTGCATGACTGAAAACGCAGAGCTTGTGCGTTACTAATGTACTGTAAATTATTCAACTAATGGAGGTTGAACTATTGGAGGTTATCTGTAAATTATCTCAGTAATGGAGGATGTCGTCCACTATTGGAGACCTCCTAAAATGACTAATGTTCATGTAGTTTTGTTTTAAGACTTCTTAATGTTCAGTAGTAAGTCGCACAATTCCTTCACAAGGTTGCCCTCGAAGATGCTCCTTGGTCCGCGTGGAGATGCTGTGGCATTCCATAGTGTTGTGGGTGTAGAAGGCCTTCGCAGTTGTCTTGGCTGTCTGGTTCTGTGTGGGAATTGCCATGGCATACCTTGTAAAGTGGTCTGTAATTACGAACACATTCTCATATCCTCGGGAAGATTCCAGTGAAAGGAAGTCAATACACACTAACTCCAGAGGTTGGCTGGTGTTGATACTCACAAGAGGTACTCTGACATACTTGGCCAGAAGAATCCTTCCCGTAGCAGTGATAGGGTGAGGTCTCTTCCAGGGTTCCACTTCGTCATTGCATCCTATCATGGCTCTTTCTACACAGGAGGCAGGGAGTACCAGCTGTAGCCTTGAACAGGGATGCATCGTTCTTTGCAGGTGGAATCATCGCTTTCTCTGGCTTAAGACCAGATCTCACACTGGCTATCCATGGTCGGAGGGTTGGATCCTGATACTGTGCCTTCCTCCAGTCTCTGTTGGTCATGACTGGAGACTGGATGTATGGTCCTTTGAACAGGTCAATATTTATGACAGCTGATAGGCACAGGGATTCTACACAGGGTTGAGAATGGATTACATTAAACGCAGCCTTGAACGATTCTCTAGGAACCTCTTCCTCTCTTGATATCCCTGGTAGCCTGGACAATCTGCATCGGCACTACACAATGTTAAAGTTATAAGCTGCAAGTTCAGCTAACCAATGATGACCAGTAACATCGAGTTTGGCTGTGGTGAGCACGTAAGTAAGTGGATTGCTGTCTGTAAATAATGTGAAAGTATTTCCGTACTTTTTTTCATGTATTTTTTGGAACAAGGAATTCTTCAGAATAGAAACCACCGTTCATATATGAGTTGGCTAGTGCAGTGGCCAACTTAGCCCTTCCCAGATGGAATCAACAGGTGAAATGTGATGGGCTGTGTGAGATAGGATTTTTTGATGGGACCTAAGATAACAATTGGTATCTCTGGGTGAGATGGTAACTGGTAATTGAGTAACGGCGGATTGTCATCCGTCTTAGTGTGAGTTAGCTGTATCAATCGCAACCTTGCTGATGCATGAAGGCTGAGGCAGAGTCGTGGTGTGGATGGTGTGTGGCGAAATCTGAGCGTTCAGGCCTGGGGGTAATGATTGTAGCATCTTGCTGAGCCATCAGTACATTAGCCATGATCATGCAGAAAAGAAGTATCCCTGCCAGATTGTCATAGTCCTGTCAAACCCATGTAATGCCAGATGCACAAGTTTTCGCAGCATATAGGAAATCGTCCTGTTGTTGATTTGTAGGCAAGGATGAATGAGTATGTCAGATAAATGAAATTAAGTAGTATCAACATTTGTGATCGAAAATCAGACAACTACACGATAGATAATAACACAAACATGCTGTAATAAAAAAATAAAAAATGAAATATTCATAGTCATGTTACATTGCAAGCGGAATATGTTTTCTAATCATGTTCTTCTGTTAGTCATGTTATTGGTCTGTCAAAGTTCACAAAAGGTTGTTCTGTCTTGAGCTGTAATGGGATGTCCTCAGTGGTAGTGAGAACTTGTATTCTGTTTTGTTTATTTAAAGCATTAATTTTTAATAGTTAAGCAAGTCTACCTCCACAACCATTGTAATGCGCCGACTCGTCTTGCATCAAAACATGGGCTGTGTACTTGCGGAAGCAGATCAGCACGAAGTACGCTGATCACTGTGTCGGATTAACGAGAATGATTAATGAGTGATTTCGGTAATTCATTTCAAATTAGGTGTGTCAGAGTCGGAGTGCGAGACTGTCGGATTAAAGTGTCTAAATAGCACTGTTCCCATAATTTGTGTTGGATAAAGCCAACTGTAGGATTAACGAGATTTGACTGCATGTTTAAACAAGAGGCCCATAGGCCCTGTATCGCTCACCTGGATATTTACGCAATCATGACAAAATATACATTTGCATTGTACATGTATATAATACTGCAAATATTTCGTAATTTAGCATTTAAAATGGGTGGACAGCATGAATCTGACAGCATGAACGTGTATTTCTCTACATACAAATGTAGCATAAAGATCTGAACCGTTTCCATGTTATGATCCAGGATAAATCATATCAAAGGTATAACTCTCTTCATAACATACAAATATATACAATGTATCTGTTTATTATAGGGTGGGGATAATATCAGTTTGCATGTTATGGTTACGGTATGCCGGACAGATGAACAGAAGGGCCAGTCCTGGTGGCATATGTGCATTCCTCTTATAGGTTATAGACCGGTGAAGATCCAGAGTAGAATATAGTCCAGTAATTAAAAGGTCCAGGTTCAACAAAATTGACGGAAAAGGTTTATTACTTGATTTTGGTGCCTTGGCACCTATACATTAAAATAAAAAATAGTTTACCAAAATCGGACATGGGGAACCATCCGAAAATAGGTCAAATCATAGATGGCCGCCAACAAAAGTAATAATAGTCATAAACGTGGAACCAATAACAATAAAAACATTTATGATGAGTCTATCTATATTAGCTTGCCAGGATAAATGCAAAGAAATGTATATTTAATAATTTTGAAAGGAAAATTCACATAGAAATTTTAAATAATGCTTCAAAATGACGAAAAAGTACATAAATTTGTTAATATCGGTAATTCTTGCAGAACATGAACCGATTTATCATAATGTTGACGTTTTACATATAAAATCATACCGTTTATTGTCTTCACTTAAATAATCAAGTTAGAAACAAATATAATTGAAAAAACTTCTTCAAAATGGCGGCCGAGCATACAATGTTTTAAAGATAGACCTCAAAACATAAAGGTATGTATAAGCTATTTTTCTTTTATAGCTAAAATGAAAACTTGTATAATATATAGTTGATTGGCTCTAGAGAGAAATAACTGATGAAAATATGAACAAATATAAATATAAAATTTAAAACAGAGCCTTAAAATTAAAATCAACATTTGTTTCAAGGAAAATCAAGGGAGATAACCCAAACTCCGGGAAGCAGTTATTTTTCTCAAATGGTATTAGCTTCTCAGAAACTTTATTAAAAGTTAATTCAGAAGATATAATCAAGACATTTAGCACAAAAATCATTTGCTATAATCGGAAAAGCAACATTTGTATCTGTACACATGTCAACCATATTTCTATCAACTGTTACTATTCGCAGGTGACTATTCTCAACTGAAGGTGTCCTATGTAGATCACAGATGGCGACTTGTTTGCTATGTATTGAACCAGTTAACCTGGACAAACCCCAGGTTTATGTGAAGTTGACAGCAAAATGCTGCTGTAGCATTAATAACGCAAACAGACTGCACAAATTAGATGCACCAGACATCATATACAACTGTAGCCTGTTGGTACACAGACAGTGTCGAAGGATGCATATAAATCCAAAGGCAATCAAAGTAGCTGAAAACTCTTCGATCATATGTTTAAGCCTTAAATATTAAAACTCACTGTTTTCTATGTGGTACTTGTATTGACCAGGATGTTGCATACAAACATCCATATAGAAGTGTACTTCAGCCGTGCGATGGCTCTTGAGTTACTCAACATATGTCTGCAACATACTGTGTCAACAGGCAAGATGATTGGGCCAAGATAGAACAGTCAAGTATCGTGCCCATATACGATCTACCAGCTGAAGAAGCTATCCATCACCATGCTTGTGATAAGAATTTTCGGAGAAGGACAAGTATACCTGCAGCTTATATTGAACATGAGGAGGCTCCACCAAAGAAACGGAGACTTGATCGACTGAAGTGTATGTCCAAGATGACAGCAATTGAGATTGCCATTTATTACTTGGAAGAGAATGATGATGAAACGATTCCTTTGGACAATTTGCATCACATTATGAAGTCAGTGAGTGCACTGAGTGATGATCAACTACACACTACATCTCAGCTGAAAAGGGAATTCATGAATTACTATGGGAACAAGGTATTCATAACTACAATCAGGCAACAACCTAACATTGCATCTCTTACAGCATATGAAAATGTTGCAAAGGTGGACAAATCTGACATGGACAGTTTGATTAAAGTTGGGGGAGGATACGTTCATACGCAGGTAGAGACCATGTCGAAACATGTTGATGTGTATCTCGACAATGAGCAGATGGCATTGATTGACACCAATCTTGATTACCTCCCACATGCATTACGCATCCTCCTTCAAGCATCATCAAGAGCTGAAACAGTAAACCCCATACTGCGTCATTGGGTCAGGCAATAATGCATTCGACATGTCCCCATCATTTCTGCCTCCTCGACAAGTTTGACAAAGTATCACACTATAACACAAATATGGTCATTGTAATTTAGTGGATATGATAAGTCAACTCGGTTTCAGCTCCTCGTAAATTTAGAAAATTCTCGGTGACCACTCATGGTGTTCACCTAATCAGAGACATTGCAGATACATTCGTGCAATACCAGGCTGGTTATATAGATCATGTCAGCAAAAGGTTTGATGGCACTGGCTCAATCCATGCCATGGGCGAGATGGTGAAACGGAGGGTACCAAGAGTTAAGGTGGACTTGGATGATGTTAAAAAAATCAACAGTGTCAAACTATTCTCACAAAGAAATCCAAAGGCAGTGCTGGCGAACATTATCTATCCACCAATTGGTGACTTCTGTCTTGATGAAAAGAATATCAAACTAGATATTTTGTGGAGTGCGCCACATCTGTGGGTGTTGACCACTGTGTTCCATTTGCATGCAGTTGCTCCATTTTGACATTCCATACCCCAGGAAGAGCTCTGAGATATTCGTGTCGATTATCAACGTGACACCAAGTGTCAAATCCTGTGTCAGATCAACGCTGGAGTATATTTCCAAACATGCCAGACGACATGGAATCACACCGGTTATTACAATCGACCAGCAACTTTGGTGAATTGCATACATGATCATCGAATCACGGCCAGCTGAGAGCCCCTTGCATCAAATAGCCCTGGTCTTGGGGGGGATTCCATACTTAGATGAGTTTTGTGGGTACAGTTGGGAATCTGATGGCTGGATCTGGGTTAAAGAAGATCATCACTCAAGTATATTCAGAGGGTAGTACAGATCAGATGTTGTCCGGCAAATCAGTGTCACAAGCTGTGCGGGCTCATTTCTTGAGGAACCACTTCTGCAATGCTCTTATTGTGTTTGATGGTTATTGTGGTGTTTTTCGACCAAGGATGAGACCCATCAGAGAAGAACTGGAAGTGAGATTGGAGTGGATGTGGATTTCACAGCAGACATGATTCTGAAAATGAAAGAAACAAACAGAAATTCATCAGTCTGTTGGGGTCAAAAATCGAAAAAGGTGGGTTTTCAGATTAAACACTCATCCGGAGATGCTGACTATGACATTGCAATGTCTGCCTGTACATTGGCTCAAACACAGCCTGTGGTAGTGGTAGGGAATGACACAGACCTTCTCATCCTGTTGCAATATCACTTCAGACCCGATACCATGAGGCCATCTTTCTTCAGACAAGTACAAAGATCATTTCTGACAAAATTCACTGAGAAGGTATGTATCAAACTCAAATTACCTACCCCTTCGACACCTTCCACCGACATCAGATGCTGCCAGATTGCCCAGCCAACGAGTCTGACTCCAAGTGCAGACCTGGCTAGGCAACAATATGGATGCGACAGAATGGGGCTGGACGCTTCACAAGAGCAACAAGGGCACTATATTGAAACCAATCACAAGGCACCAAGCTGTCACTCCTAAATATCTGTTGAAAATAATCAGATACAATTGCACTGGAAAGTGTGATGAAAACACATGCTCATGCAGAATTGTTTTGTCTACAATATACCTCAGCATGGGGACAACGCAAAGGGATGACATGTTCAAATGAACCAAGTCATGACTTTTCTGACATTACTGAATAATCGTCTCTTCATGTCCAGTATATGAGTGTGAATATAAAGACTGTCTTGAACTTTAGACATTTAAACTGATAGTAAGTTTGACTTGTAAACTGTAGTATTGCAGGGTTATTCCCTCTTTATTATCCCGTGTTAAGTATTTTGTAGTCCGATATGGAACAATTGCATTTTTTCACATTTCGGGCAGCCGTAATTTATTTCTGTGTAAGATTTCAATTCAAAATTGTTAAATATATATTCTCCTGTCTTGATCCTATGAAGTTGATTAAAATTAGAGTCATCATCCATGTTTAGATTTTGATTGATTCATTTTTTTTTACTTTTTCGATTTTCGTTTGTATTGATGGCGGCCATCTTGGATTTGACCTATTTTGGGTGTTTCCCCAAGTCAAATTTTGGTAAACTATTTTTTTTTTTAAAGTAGACCTATCAAGGCAGTGAAATGTGTTAAAAAACCTTTTCCGTCAATTTTGTCGAACCTTCATGAAAAATAAACCTTTAATTACTGGACTAAATAGGTCTTCAGCAACACATGCTTGCTGTAAAAGGCGACTATGCTTGTCGTAAGAGGCAACTAACGGGATCGTGTGGTCAGGCTCGCTGACTGGGTTGATATATGTCATCGATCCAAATTGAGTGAATCCATGCTCATGAAAGCAGTCACTGGATTGTTTGGTCCAGACTCGATTATTTTCAGACCGCCATCATATCATATCAGCTGGAATATTGCTGAGTGCGGCATTCAACAACAAAACAACCAACCAACATATGGTTATACGGTGGGGATCTTAACTGTGTCCAAGTTATAAACTCTTTCCAGCCCCGCCTCTTAGCTTCCGGGGGTGGGGGTAGGGTTCAGCCCCTCCTTTCCTCTAGTTGGAATCGCCACCATTGGAGAACGCTTCCAACCAAATATGGTTGATAACTATCTCTAAGTTCCAGAGAGGAAGTCGTTTAAAGCAATAACGTCAAATTACCCCTATTTCGGCCCGCAGCCCCTTGGGGGATGATCAGCCTTTCCCTTTGTGCAATTTTGAATTCTCACCACCGGAGAATGCTTCCAACAATATATGGTTGATATCTATCTCTTAGTTCCAGAGAAGATGTCGTCCCCACCACCTAGGAATGCTTCCAGTCAAATTTCGTTAATTTCCAATTAGTGTTTCAGAAGAAGAAGTCGTTTGAATAAATTGTTGACGGACGACGGACGCCACGGTATCCCATAAGCACACCTTTGCCCTTCGACCCAAAGCTGAGACTTTGGCATGCCATGAGGTATTCCTATGAACTCATCAGGATGACTTACCAGTGAAGAGGACGTCTGTTGAAAATCTGAAGTTTTATTTAGTGTGATGTTAACCAAATTGCAAGAATATTGGCTATGATGTAATAGAGTTAAGGTATTTGAAGGATTGTGATACTTGTTTCAATTCAGATTCTTGTGATGCTCTGTATTTCTTTTTGCTTTTTTTGTTCAGTCAGATTGATAGCTTATAAAAATGTGTATGACCTCAGTCTTTGTGCATACCTGGCAAGATTGGTATTATTCTTTGAGATGGCTCCATCACACCAGCCTCAATAGGAAACTTGTTCAATACTGTGCCCTGAAAAAACAAAAATAGTGCTTAATAAAAATGTACCAAGGGCAGTACATTTACATGTTGTACTACAGTCCCATCACTTGTACGAAGAACCGATACTCAAGCAATAGTTTTGCACTTTATAACATGGCAAGTCCGCATCCCCATTATTTCCCTCAAACAAAAATCTTCTCAAACAAGAGAGATGAAATTTATCCCTCATTGAAATTTGTTTGACAGTTCTAGTCTGCAACAAATTCATTCCAAGTGAAGGTCATTCAATTCAACAATTGTGACAACAGAAAACATCAAGGTCATTCAACAAATTACAACATGGATTTCAAAACTTCCTGAAATGCAGATTAATCCAATGCAATATTCATTTTTCATTCTGTTGTAAATCTCTACTGAACCAAATTTTTTAGCAAAACCTAATTATTTGAGCATACACTGAAACCTAAAATATGACGCTGTGCAATATTAATTTTGAAAGTTTGTCACACCATAATGCAGCACCTGAACTCAATTCACTTGTGCAATGACGCACGTGAAAAAGTGTTCACTTTTTAAGAGCATGGTCATCACATGACACTTTCTGCCACAACAGTAACCTGAATACCAATGCTAAATTGCACAAAAAAACATGGGCTGCTAGCTTGGAACGCCTGAAAATTTTTCACTTATCCTAAAATTCAGGAATATATTTGGAAAGTGAGCCACAAAGGAGGCAGTACTGGCATCCACGACAGTAGTGGGTTTAGCAAATATTGATGTTATTTATAGATCTAAAATGCATATTACACTACCAGGAATAACAAATGGTCTGTGTGTACAATGCCTCAATCTATTGATATCTTGATGGGACAGCTCGAAGATGCTCTTTTCGAGATATTACCCACTGTGGACAAACTACAAAGGCTGGTGTAATAGCACATGTACAATTAATGATGAAATTTTTAAACCTCACAGGGCTTGTCTCACACTTAATCCAGCAAATGGACATTGACACCTGGTAAAAATCTTCATCACTTCCCAAGGAGACACCTTGGGTTTACAGATATATCAGAATTGGGTATTAGGAAATTCCAGGTTGGTGTTGGATTACCTAAATCAGTTCCCAACAAAGAAGTCCGCGTTCACCTCATTCATGTCAGTACAACGGAAAATACATGAACATCCATCAACACTCCTCGGGACCGTTCCCACCAAAGGAGAAAAATAGAACAGCGGTAAAACAGATATTTCTCATCATTCCATGTTTGCATGTAGAGATTGTGGCATGTAGTTGTTTTGGGATACAACCTGGTTTACGGTTGCTTAGCAAATGAGCTTGTATATTTGTTTGTTGTTGATATATACTGAACAGCATTGAAAACGCACCACCATGAAAATGGATGTATTTTTATCCGGGCTTAAGTCATATGAAAATATATAAGTGAATGAGTAATATACAACGTTCTGGACGAAGCATGAAGAAGAACACATTCCTAATTTTTTTATGAGCGACATTGCCAAAACGCAACAAATTGCGTGCACATCATGGAAAACGTGTTTTGTTTCACGGGAAGCATGCAGAATAGGGCTATAAAAAAAAGACTTTAAAAAGCCACATCACTTGATGCTGCAGACGTAAAGGGTACTGACACAAGAAATGCAAAGTTTAACAGCAGAGGAACGTGAACGTGCCTTGGGCATGCTTCAAGTTGGTACGTCAAGTAGAGTCATTGCAGAACGGTTTCAATGCCATCATTCAACAGTCCTCAGGCTACTGAGCAGATACCAGCAGACAAGAACCACCAGAGATCGACCACGTCCGGGTCAACGTCGTGTAACTACACCACATCAGGATCGCCATATTGTTCGTCGGCATCTTCGTGATTGTACACTTCCGGCTACCAGGACTGCAGCAACCGTACAAGGCCAACAGGGCTGACACCGTACGTTGTTGTCTCCGCTCAGCAGGACTACGTGCTCGACGTCCATATGTTGAACCCATACACACTGATCGACATCGAAATGAACGTCCGCGTTGGGCCAAAAGGCATTGTCATTGGAGATTGCGGCAGTGGCATGGTGTGCTGTTCTCTGAGGAGTCCCGTTTTCATTTACGGAATGCTATCGTTCGACTGCGAGTGTGGCGTCGACGTGGAGATTGTTACCACAATGACTGCGTTGTACAGACAGATCGATGGGGGGGGAGGGAGTGTCATGGTGTGGGGCGGCATCAGTCATAACCATCGAACAGAGCTCCATGTTTGTCATGGAAGAGTTAATGCCCTTTACTACAGGAATAACATATTGGCAAATCACGTCATTCCATTCTTTCATCAGCACCAGGATATGCACACCTTCCAGCAAGATAATGCAAGAGCGCACACAGCACGTGTTTCAACACAGTACCTTGCGAACAATAATGTGCCTCTGCTTCCATGGCCAGCCCTGTCCCCCGATCTATCGCCAATTGAACATCTATGGGATTACCTGGGCCAACGCCTCTAACGTCGTCCACAAGTACAGAGCCTGAGAGAACTTGAAGATACACTACGTCAAGAGTGGAATGCCCCAGAACACTATTCGCAGACTTTTTCGATCAATGAGAAGACGTTGCATGGCCTGTGTTGCTGCCAATGGCGGACATACAAGATATTGACTTTTCAATTTAACCCTATGTGTCTTCCTTACACTGATGACGTAAATGTAATTACTGTGTGGTATTCCTGTTTCCTTTGTCATCTTTCTTAATAATCCGTCTATGTCTGTTCTAATTAAAATCGGTCATTGCTCAAGTTGTTTTTGTAATATTTCAAGATTTATTGCTGGTGCGTTTTCAATGCTGTTCAGTGTATTAGTGATCATTGTATTTGACAACTGGGATCTTAACTTTCAGATTGCCTCTCTTCAAATTAACTCATGGGGATGAATGGATTGTAGTGAGTGAGTATGGTTTTACGCCGCTTTTAGCAATATTGTACTTACTGTGTTCCCTCCTACACTTTTTTTGTGACAAACAGGCCTGGAGTCATTTGCGCCATATCGGCTCATCCCTTACCACTCTTGTAGATTACGGAGTGGGACATCATGCCAACCCATAACCTTCGTAAGTCTCTGTCACCGATTTGACCCTTTCCGTTCAGTTGCATGACGTCTCAAGCATGACAAGGTAAATTTACACTTAGCTTAACAGTGTGGATGTAGCTCCGTCAGTTTGCTGTTGGGCTAACAATGCAAAGGTTGCAAGGTCGTGTCCTACGGATTCTTGCAAAAACTGGTTGCTTGTCTTTGAGGCAGAGAACGTTCTCAAAAGAAGTTTTGATACTGTATTTTATAGGTGCTTCCAACTCACAATATTTACATGACGATGGTAAGATTACTGCCATAGACACTTTCAAACAAACTTTAGTTCACAGGGAATGGTGTAATATATCATAAATGCCAGACTATGAATTGTTAAAAGTCACATTTGTTGTACTTTGACTAATACATGTATATATCAACATAATATGTTTTCCCGATTGCAACTGCGAAAGCCTCAATGGTGACTGGTCAAATACTTTATGACGTTAAAAATATCTGGCACCAGCAATCAGCTGTATCAAAGGGCTATGTTCCATGGAATGGTTGATGACATCAACATATGCTTTGACGATCTCAAGATTTGCTGTACAAATTTCAAAGGCAGTGCAAGTTCGATGACAGTATCAAATCTAAAAGCAGTGGAAATAATATTCACCTAGTAGCAACATTTGTCAAACTACCAAGATAGGCCAAGGCTAGATACCCAGGGTAAACAGTGTTCTTCACACAACGGCTTGTCTTGCTGTAGCGTGATATGTAATATGTGAAATAAGAGAGGCATGCACTCGTCCCCTTATCTAGTTTAACTAGCATCCAAAACTTTCTAGTGCTTTATCAGTCCTTGCTGTATTAGAAGTTTCCAGATAATTCTACCTTACACTTGATTACACTAGCATCTAAATATAGTAACTTCCACACCACTGCTTACTAATTATTGTCAAAACAAATTGCTATAAACTTCAACTGAATCTCAGCAGAAACAACATAATATAATTAGGCATTGTTTAACAACAAATTGCACTGCCAAATAACACTCTCACCCTTCAGAGAAAGAAAGTTTGAACATATTGAGAACTTTCTTTGCTAATACAAGTTACAAAAATTGTCAAGTACAGAAAATAATAGTACACATTACACATGCTAACAAGCATGAAATACTCACATCCCCCGCCAGTATGACATGTCGGGTGTGTGCAATGCACTAGCTCCTGTGAACTATGTTCACTGGGCCTTTTTGTAAATGGCCTAATTGCAGCACTAAAAAAAAGTTATTACTGGTGTTGTTTTTCCATCTGCAGTTTATGATAGAATATGTTACTGAATTTGTAATGAGTAAGGATGAGACATATGGACAACAACTTCTTTATTACATTTAGGAGCGATGGTTTCGGTGTAGGTTCTAACACCATTATCAAGCAAGTGAAGTACAGAGTATGGTTGACAAGAATATATATTGTTTATACAGTTGAGTAGGTTTAAGATCAGTTACACTGTTTTATTTGTAATGAGTTGTGTTTCTGTATGAAGTTCGTCAGTGAATGCAACAACTGTGTCCATGACACTTTTGGAGGAACATACCCACAAGCAATGCAGAACTTACCGACAAGAAAGGAAATGTATTCAATACTGTGAGATGACATTATGTGCCAAGTTTGATGAAGAAATATAGTACGGTTTTCAAGATCTGCTCTGGAAACGAGGACTACCGCCATTTAATCAGTCTAAATCAAAGTCGTTGCCATGGAACCTCGAAAAAATTGTTTTTAAAAATCCTAAACTATCAAAAGGCACCAGTTCACCACTAGATCTATCTATGTGTCAAGTTTGGTGAATAAATATGGTACGGTTTTCAAGATCTGCTCCAGAAACGAGGACTACCGCCATTTTCAGTCTAAATCAAAGTCGTTGCCATGGAACCTCGAAAAATAATTTTTTGGAAAATCCCAAAC